CACCCCGGAGCAGCAGCTCTGTGCACCGTCCCCTCTCCAGCAGCAAGGGGTTTATTCCTCATCCAGGCATGGGGTGGGAGCACGGTACGGGGGTCTGGGTCCCTGGGGAATCCCAGCCCTGACCCTCGGGGTGCAAGGAAGGAGGGAGGTCCAGAGCAGCTGAGTTTGGTGGTTGCAGTCAAACTAAATGCAGGTTACTGAGAAATGGTTCAAAAAACCTGGCAAGGGTTGCACGGAAGATCATGGTAATTGAATTCGGAGCTCACCCATTGCTAAGCTGTCTCTGCTGTTCCTGGTACGACAGCAGGAGCAATTCCAGTGCAATCGGTGGTACGGATCTGGTCCGCAGCCCAACATCTGGATGCAGATGTTTTGTACGTCGATAGGCTCTCTCTGGGAGAGCTGCTAATGTTTCTGCAAACTGGACTAAAACTTTTGTTATTAATGGCACTGTTGAGACCTGCGGGGGTTTACTCTTTAAATTATTTTTTTTTTAAACTTTATTATTTTTTTTTTATATTATATTTAAAACATTCTACAAATGTCTGAGACCTCTGCTGATGTTGATCTGTGTGTATTGTTCTCGTGAGTGAAAAATAATGGGAAAAATTATGGTTCATATCACAGTGTCCTTAATATTCTGCAAATCTTATTGACAGAAACCTTCCAGTGTTGCAGCAGAGGTGCCTCGAGATACAATTTTCACTGAATATTTAACTGTTCTCAGCAGTACTGGAGCCCCGTTTTTGCTATAACATAGCACGCAGTGGGTCTTACAGGACGTACTCCAGGGCAGAGCGCTGTTGATTAAGGTCGGGAGATGAAGGTGAAGAAAGGGCAGTTACTTTAAAAAAATTTCGTGGCCTGTGTGACCTGTAATTTTTAAATGAAAATGCTGAAGAGATCTTCAGGATGGCACTTTGGAGAGTGCATCGTGGCACACAGATCCTGCAACGCTGCTCCTGCACAGCTGCTCCCCCTCGCCAGCATTACACTGAGAACAAGTAAATTTTATTCATCCCATCTCACTTATTACAGGATTTTTTCCTAAATGTTTAAACACTGGATTATTTTTTTTTTCCTTTAAATGGAGATATGGGAAGAAATTGTGGATTTGAATATGCCAAATTGACCCCGTTTCTCAAATGTAGCTGCATCACCTCTTTTAACACCCACTGATGCCTTCAGAGAATTTGGCAATCCGATTTCCCTAAAATGCTTTCCTAAAAATGTTCAAGACAATCTTAGCTCTCTGCTTAGGGACAGTAAAGAACTTAATTCGTGATGTTGGGCTTGATTTTGTAGATAGGGCTCTTCCTACTGACTCTGCGGACGTAAAACCCGCGCGTAACAAATAATTTTCTGTTTTTGAGAAGGGCTGTGTTAATTTGAGCATGTTGCTTTCGGGAAGGATTTCACTGGGAGATCCAGCTGCAACTGAAATTGGAAAAATTTGCCTGGCAAAGCTAATGCAAGTGGGGAAACCTGTTTTCAGAAGCACTGGAGAGCACTGGTTTCCTAAATGTGCTGTTAACTAACGGACTGTCGGAGAGCTGCGGTGTCATTAACTCTTTCCGGAGAAGTGCATGTTGGTTTTTGCATGTTCACCCAACATTTCAAAACCCAACTTTCTGCAGCTGTGTTTTGAAACTAAATGGTCTCTTGAACTAACAAGAAATGTTTTTACCAATTTATTTCTTAAATGTAGGTGAGGAAAACGCACATTGAGGTCACAGTACCCACCACGAATGGTGACCAGCCCCAGGTTTGTGCTAATAATTCAGTTAGGTTGCTCACACTTTTTTTTTTTTTAAGGTTAAACACTGAGGTTCAACATAATTAAATGAACCAACAACTTTTTTTTTTTTTTTTATCACTGCCCCACAGCAGCAGCCTGCAGAAAAAGAGGAAGAGCTGATAAGAATGAGGAAGGTTAGCCATTTTACACTTTCCACCAAACAAATTTGCCATATCATTCATGCATCTGTAACCTGTTTAAAAAGACAGTGCTCCAATTTCTTCCTGTACTTTGGGTTGGGTTTTTGCGTTTGTTTTATTTTTTATGCTGCAGCTATCAAATATTTGCTTTTAAAATTAAGAAAAATTAAAATTAATTTTCAATTAATTATAATTAATTAATTGTGTCACATAGACAGTCTGATTGCTAAAATTATGCATGTTGAACGCTCGAGAGAAACACATTTGGGTTGATTTATATAAATTTATCTTCGCTGTAACAAATTTAGTTAGAAACCAAAGAAAACTATATAGTGTGCATTCCAGGAAATGCAATTAAAAAAAAAAGTATAATGCTTTTTTTTTTTTTTTTGGTATTGATTAAGCAATAGGGGCCATACCCAAGATGGGGAAGGTGGTTAAGACGTAGTTACTGTGCACACTGAGACTTGTAAAGGTTCCACCAGGCACAGCCCCGTGCGTCGCCGGAGGAGTGTGACGTTGTGACTCCGTGGAAGGCTTCCACGGAAAATTGGGCAACTGTCTCTTTGTGGCAAGTGCTGTAAGCCAGGGTGGAAGCCGAGGGACCCCTGGGAGCTGTCTCTTTAAAGGACTCATTGCATTTCCCCATTCTCCATGAGCAGAACCCCCATTTCCCGGGGGGGCTCCACGCCGGCGGCCCTGCGGCTGGTGTCCCCCCCCCACGCTGGCACAGCGCTGCGCTCCCGACCTTGAGTTAACTTTTTTAATTTGCCAATTTGTCAATCCCGCAAGAACAACGTTTTAATTTTTTGTGCTTTTCTTTTTTTTCTTTTTTTTTTTTTTTTCCTTTCGTTTTGTTTTGTTCCCCCCTTTTCTTTCATTTTCACAGAAAAGATCAAAGAGGCTAGATGGTGAAAACATTTATATCAGGCATAGCAATTTAATGTTGGAGGTTTGTATGAACTTGAAGCTTTTTTTCAGTTGCGTTTGCCTACACCTTCTGCATCTGCGCTGAACTTTTTTCTTCCTTTTCTGCCGCTGCCTTTGTTTTTGCATGCTGTTGCATGAAAGACCTTATTTTATTTTTTTTAAAAGATGCTTTTGCATGGTGACAGTAAACATGCCGATGTACAGGCATCCTTCCTTCTACCTCTTCTGACTTTCATTCTCTCATACTTACCCAAAATACATGATTGGCAGAGCCGCGTGCTCAGGTCTGCTCTTGGACCCGCTGGGTGCTCACGGCGGCGTGAATCGTCATGGGGAGAACATTTCATAAGATTCTCCTTGCTTGAAATAAGTTATTTTCCTGGGGGAAAATGGAATGAAAATGGAAAATTCAGGATAAGCTGCTCCCCTTGGAGCTGACGTGGGGTCTTGATGGTCATGGGTGGCTCGTGAGTGGGCGAGAAGCCCTTTCATCCCTCCACGTACAGCTGTTCCCTTGGGCTCTGGGAGCCCCACGCACTGGTTTCGCCCAAGCACGGTCTCCGAACAGACCATGCCAATCATATATTTTATTTTTTTTTAAATACACTGTGTTATGGAAGACGTTTTGTGGCTTCTGATACTCTGTGTTCTGTGTTTCTACTTAAACTTGCAGCACCAGCAGCTGGTAGGGTTTCCCTGTTGGTATCTCTTGAAAGCGAAGTGTACTAACTGCCTTCTCCTAATCTGAATTTTATAAGTTTTGCAGATTTTGGGTGGTTTGTTGGGTTTTTTTGTGTTTGTTTCCTTTTTTAAATTTTTTTTTTTTTTGACTGCTACAACTTCGAGCTCCCGGCCACGAGTGACGGGTCTGTGGCACACCGGGCAGGGTTCGGCTGTGAAGACTGTGCCTGTTGCTCTCTTTTGCCCGACTCAAACAGCTCCGTCTCCCCAAACCCAAACAAAACTTTTTCATTGCTTCCAAACCCCTTTTTCCTATTCCTGCAACACCTGGCTCTGGCACCCAGCTCGTTCCCTCTCCGCTGCCCTTCCCACCAGTTCTGTTGCAGGTGCTCCAGCCCTCCCCTAAAAAAGAGCTGACCCAGCAGCTCACCCCCTTTATTCCTTTTTTTTTTTTAATCCATACGTTTGGCAGATCAGCAATTTTTCCAACGCTCCCGAAGCTGCCGCTCGATTTTATTGAAAGCTGTTTAACGCTCCGTGCTCGATGACCCCACGCTCCGCGTTCTTCCAAAAAGGGTGAAACCAGGAGGAAAAGCGTTAACGCTTAGCGAGCTTGTGCCTCGAGATGCTTTCAAGACCCGTTGTGGCTCCATGTAGCTCCTCGTGGCTTTAGCTGCTCTGTGAACCCTCCCAGGACCAGCTCTTGCGCAGTGGTGGATAGCCAAGGTGGTCTTTCTCTCTTCTCTAAACCAGGAGCAGCTGTAGGACTCCTACACCCAGGCAGGGATTTACTCTGGAGTCCTCAGCAGACTTACTTGTGCTTTAATTTTTTTTTTTTACTACCTAGCAGGCACGTGCCTTGTGCTTTCATCCAGGATGGATGCCAAAACTGGTATTTTTTTCCCCCAGAACCATGCCAAAAAGAGCAAATGTTGTTAATGAGGCTTTTGGGGCTGTAGTCCTAGGGAGGGGCGGTGTGTCCTGGGTAAGCTGCTGGGATGCAGATATTGGGAGACATCCTTTAGGGATGCATTTGCTCTCCCATCTTCTAAAATCAGTAGGCTGAATACCAACTAAAAGCAGAAAAATAGTGAAATTTCCCAGTGATGCTTTTACTGACCTTAACTTCCCCCTCTCTAACGGGTGAGGCTTGCTGCTTTTTGGCACTATCCCGAAAAGTCGTTGTTTGGCTTATGCCTATTTTATGCAAAAGCTTTGTTTTCAACAAACTCTGGTTTGCTTGCAAGGAAAAGCTATTTTTACACAAGTTGAAGAGAGCTGACTTGCCTTGAAGTCTGTGCATTTCTGCTGTAAACTGGCATCACAGAGTAGAAATCCGGCTTTTTCCAGATGAAGAGTTTTAGCAGGAATTTCTCGATTGATCCAGCATAAAGCAAATTCTCCATTTGATTTTAGAGGGCTGTCATCTCATCTTCATTTCAGAAGTCTAAAACCTCCTGTGGTATCTCCTGGAGGGATGAGATGAGGGGGTGGGGAGGGGGAAGTAATAGGAGGTATTCTGGGACCAAAGATAATTCCTGGTAGGATGCAAGAGAAATAGGTATGAAGAGAATAAATGAAATTGGGAAAATATTTTCTTAAAACATTAGCTGCATTTATATCCATGAATATTCAGGCTAGCAGAGGGAAAAGAAAGCAAACCCACCCAATTTAAAGGCATTAAATTAAACAACCCAAACAAACACAGTCTTGCAACTTAAAAAAAAATCCCATACGGGGAAAACTCACGAGATTCCACCTCAGCTGTCATCTCTTTTTGGTGTAGCTTGAGATGAACCGATGGCACGGCCCGCTCCTGGAGGAGACCCCGCTCCGTGCCGATTGCAGTTTATCCCAATTAATACAAGAGGAAAGAGGAGAGAGGACGTTCCCTTTGTGTGTTTGCAGTGTGAGCACAAGCGATGGAAGTCGGCAACAACTCTGCTGAGCGCAGCTTTGCTATGCAGCAGCGTAGGCAGCGGCCGGGGTCGTCTCCGTGTCTCTTCATTTATCCTGTCCTTTTACTAATAGGATCTAGATAAGACCCAAGAAGAGATCAAGAAGCATCACGCCAACATCAGTGAGTTGAAGAAGAACTTTATGGAATCCGTCCCGGAGCCTCGGCCGAGTGAATGGGACAAACGTTTGTCCACTCACTCCCCATTCCGAACCCTCAACGTCAACGGGCAGATTCCCACGGGAGCGGATGGAGTGAGTACCGCGGCGGCACGTGGGCGTTAGTGCACTGCACAGTAGTGTGCAACTTCCAAGAGGCAGTTTCTCAACCTAGGATTGAGCCTCAGCTCCCCTTAGTTTTTGGTTATATTGAGTTTTAATAGTTAACATTGACTTTTAACATGTAAATGGTCTCTGGGAGAACTGATGCTTTAGTCGTAGTGTCATAAAAATGTGATTTTTCTTTTTTTTTTTTTTGGTAGAAAAGAATGTAGCAATTCTTCACCTGGTTTTGATGCTGCTTTTCCTAGCATTGCTTTCATCCACAGTGCTAGAGTATACTTCACATGGCAGTTTTGGGGACCGGCTTATTCCTAGTGCCAGGGAATAGGTCTCCCCAAAACGTAGGATCAAAACCCCAAACACTTAAATTGAAGGGAATTACTGCAGGTAACCCAGTGGAGAAGCACTAGGATGGTATCAATTTTTAAAAATCCCTTTATTCTCCAGTTAATCCAGTATATCATTGGGTTTAGTTTTGCATTAGGATCTGCAGGTGCTGATCTGCCCTGGAGGCTTCGAGAAGACTCCTCAGGTGGCTACAACAGGGCTGTTCTTACGTGATGGAAATCTTTCTCCTTACAAGGAACACTGTCTGTGTGTTAGTAGCCATACACATTCACAGTCTCCCTGCTAATGTCCTTAAAAAGGTAATTTTTTGAAGAAACTGAGTTGGAGCAGCAGCAATCTGTCTGCCAGCTGGTTTCTTCTTGGATAACAGACAGCTGCTCTGTTTAATATTGGTGTTACCTTGCTCAGATTTGAAGCTTGTGAGTAAAACTGTAGGTAGAGCCCATGGTAACCAGGCTTTTAAATAATAAATGTGATTTTTCATTAAAACTGAAAAATTGCATCCTGGCTGCAGTGGCAGCAGTTGTGGAGTCTCTCCTGGTTTAAGCCTAGCCGCAACCCTTCCTACCCACAGCACTGCTGAGAAGCTTGTGTTTAATCTTCAAACCATTGCAAGGGAGATACTTTTTGAACAGAAATCATCTTATCATAACATGTACAAGTGGTTTTAATGGCCAAGTTTACTACAGGCTCCTCGAAGCATAGAGAAAGGCCATGAAAATTAATGGGCTTTTTTCCCCCCATTAGGAAAAAAAAACCCCAAACCACCCAAAATCAGCTTATTAGGGTTGATCATTATCCTTGGAAGTACTCATGGATCCACTTGAGTCTTTGGTTGCTGAGTCTCAGTGTAGAATCTGCAGGAATTTGGGCAGCGGGGCGATGCAGAGCTCTGCCCGCAGTGCCACGCGATCATGGGTGTGTGGGTGGGATAGAGCAGGGGCTCTCCAGCTCCACAACTGCGGTTCAGGAATGATGTTCGTGGTTATTAGGAAGAATTTTTTGCATGGTGACTGCACACGAAGGTCTCGGGGGGCTGCCCTTCGCAGTAACTGGGTGCTGTGGGCTTTCCCCATCTAAGGCTGCGGTGGTCCACAGCGACGTGGGGGTTGGTGTCAGCCCTGGGTTTGCATTTCTGGAAATTCCCTCTTGTCTCTGATCGTCTCAGAACTGGGCTTGCTCTGAAGTGAAGGTGGACGCGTTCCGCTGTGAACTTCCAGAAATGCATCTTCGAGAGGCGCCCACGGGGGAGGGTGTTTCCCTTCACCTGCACGTGTTTAAGGATGGCAAACGCCGATGCAGAGCAGTCCTGTTCCTCCAGCTCGTGGTGGTCCCTTCACCCCGCCGTAGTGGCCGCAGGGTGTTCTGCCAGGGGCTGCTTTTCTGCTCTTCCTGTATGTTTTATTTCCAACCAACTGAACCTTAACACGCTTTGTGTGTCCAGGTCAAGAAAGTCACTGTCCTATCTTCTGAGAGACAGGTTGGTGGGCTTGAGGTAAAGCTGCTGCTCTGATATGTGCTTCTGAACCAGACTTTTGCTATTGCCATGGCACCAAGCAAAAAACTCAACAGCAGCTGCTGGATAATGTTTTGGTTTTTTTTTCTTTTGGCTACACGGAGTAGTTTCCTAACTCACACCGAGAGGACTTTTGCACTGCTGCAGCTTTTGCAGCTTCTGGTTTTGCTTATTTTGGTGCATGGCTGGTTGGAAAAAGCTGCATGAAAGATATAACCGTGTATTCGGAGAGAAAAACAATTACGAAAGTTTAACTGTACCCTGTTCTTTTTATGTTGTCTTTCTTTCCGTTTTTCTTTTTGTTTGTTTGTTTTAATGATCATGTTACTCTTGCATTTTATATTTTCTTTTGCTGCCCAGTCTCCCAGCTACTTCCTCCCCGATACTCATCACTTAGGGGTGTGCAAAGAACCGGTCCCAAAATACCGCAGCGATCAGAGGAGGCTAAATCAGCTGAGAGAGCTCAGAGCCAAGTTTTTCCTCTCCTAAGTGCACTTGGGTTTGACCAGCTCTGGTACACTAAAGGGTTGGAGAGTTTCTGAACAGCAACGTTTCCCCCAATTTTTTCTTTCTTCAACTGAAGTGCTAGAGCCCTCGCATGATTTACTCATTCTGGTGGGTTTTTTTTAACGTTGTTTAGACTCCAGAAACAAAAGTGCTAAAACACGGAGCAAAATTTAAGGAGTTTGCAACGCTCCTACTGCCATCCTGTCTGTTCCACGCTCGGGATTTCTAAGATTTAACACTTTTTTTCACTTGTTCCGGTAGAATTTTCAAAACGATCGAAATTTTGATACTCTCGTCAGAACTTTGAAAAAGCATTTTGTATCTGCACTGCAGTCTGGATGTTGGATGATCTTTAACAACCGCTGGTTTTTTCGGGCGCTGTAGAACAGGGAGCTGTCACAGACCACCTTTTGTACTGACCCGTTTCTATTTCTAATGCCTCCAGCTCTTTGCTCAACCGTTCCAACTCCAAAACGCTCCAGTGGGTTTCGAGCAGAACGCTTTTCTGGGAGGGCAGGCGCAGAACACGCGTGATCGTGATCCAGGGGTTTGTGACAAAACACGCGTGATCCTGATCCAGATGTTCATGGGCTCTGCAGAGAGGACTAGATTTTGTAGCTCTCAGGCTGGTGTGACCCAAGCCACCAGCGGCTCCGCTCTCCAGGGCGCTTTATTTTTACGTTGAGAAGAAGGCTGTCCTAACGCTTTGCACACCTCCAAGTATCGTTTTGGGCACTTTCCATCTGTCATTTTTGTTCATCTCTCTCTGTCTTTCTTGATCTTCTACCACGAAAGCAGACACAGGAACGTCCTCTGTTAGTACAGGATGAAGACAAACTAAAAAAGCAGGAGATACCTACTGAGACAGCCTTTCCCCAGCAAGCAAGTGAAGAAACTCTTCCAAAGGTTTCTATTCCAATTCCTGAAGAGCAGAAATCACTCAAAAAGTGTCAGCTGTACTCTAGCATTTTTCCTTCTCCACGTATTCCCTTTATGATGTCCTTTCTCCTGGTCGTAGCACTGACTGTTTGGTGGCTGCTCTTTCTCTGAGTGGCAACAGGGTCATGTTGAAACCTCAAGACCAAAGCTCCTGAATTTCTTGGCCGTAGCCTCTGCTGCATCTTCCTTGTCCTGATCTTTGATCTCCGTAGCTCGCTGTCCCGAGGAGGGACGCCCCGTGACCATCGTGTTAATCCCGCTGTGTGTCGTTGTGTAGCTGCGATCCGGGACCTGGCAGGAGTGGTCATGGATTATTGCCAGGTCCGTTTGGAAGTTTCCTAACGTGCAAAAGCAAATTCTCTGAACCGTGTTCCCGATTGCTGTAAGAGGGCAGACAGGGAGCGTAAATACGTGGGAGGAGATGTTTGCTTCTCCAGCCCCTGTAGCCTTCACGTAGGGATCGCTGAAGACTTTCTTGTAAGCTGCTTGTTTTAAATGTAAGATGTTCACAAGCTGAAGAACGTCTGATACAGATCCAAAAGAGGCTTTACAGCAATCTGCTCCATCTAATCCATAACCACTCCTTTTCTAGGAAACTAAGATTGGCACTGAAATAAAAAGTGTTGATTATCAATGCTGCTGTTAGTGTTAACTTAGAGACAGGGACAGGCGACTTTTCGTTTTCCCGGCGGGGGAAGCCTTTTGCAAAGCATCACAGCTTCCCTCTCACCCCCCTTTCTTCGTTTCCAAGAAAATACATTGTGTTATAGGAGAAAACCCATTACAAGGAAATATTTATTGTAAAGTAGATTAATCATTTTTCTCAACCTGGTGGTCTTGGTGCACTTCAGACGTGTTTTTTTTTTTTTTTAATTTGTGTCGAACTAATTGACGCATGTTTGCTTAGGTCACAGGAATGGAGTAACCTGCTGTTAGGTCCGTCTCCTCTGTCAGCATGTTGACTTTACCGCATCGGGACACGCTTCCAATGTTAAAGCCATCGATTGTTTTGACTTCTCTGACAAAACCGTTGCATGCCGCTCGGTGTTTATTGCCTACCAATGTAAATGTCTGGATGATGCTCAATGCTTATTGCGAGTCACCCTGGTTTTGGGGCGTAGGCTCCAAGAGGAGTTGCCCAGCTGGGCTGAGCAGAACTGGTTTGCGAGCCGGAGGGAAGATGGGACTTTGTGTCTAAGGGGTTTCTTTTCTGTATATAGCAATTATGGGACTGAGCTGAGCCAAGCGCTTCTCCTTTCGGTAGTAACGTGCTTTCTGCTGCTTTCTCTGGGGGATTGGTGTAGGTGTAGACACAACTACTTCTGAGAACAGCCACCAGTGCCATCAGTGTTGGCAGCTGCTTGAGCAGCCCAGAAGAGAAAGGAGTAGACCTTTATTACAGGGACTAAAATGTGTGAATATATATAAATACATGTATTTATCACCCTTTATAGATCTGTATCTGTGTGACCAGTGTTATTTAGGAAGCTAGCAGATAAGCTTGCAGGAAAAAGACATAAGGCAAAAGTGGCATGTGCTGTGTGAGCTGAAGGACCGTGGTGTGTCACGGACCATTCCAGCCGCCTCTCTCGCTCTCAGCGTACAGGTCGAGGCTCTCTAAACGCTGTCCTGGAAACTTAGGTTGCTAGTGAAACCCTTCCTT